ATTGCTTAAGTTGCATTTATGTTATACAGTGTTTCAGACTGTATTATCTTTCACTGTGTTGCCAATTTCTGTTAATTTTTTTTTATGCTTTTCCATACCATTTCTTTAACTGCTATTGTTTTCTAAGACTTTGTTTTCTTTTGCATTTTGAGGAGATGCGTTTGCTAATGTTCATTACGTTTATTCAGTAAGTTATTAGTTTATTCCCAAGTCTTAAAACAGAGTTTTTTGTTGTTGGTTTCATTTAATTCTTGAAATTGCTTTCACTTTCTCTCAAACACTGGAGTAACCCATTTTTTAAAATAACTTCTTGAACTGTATACAGGGGTCACATGACTCAATAGAAAAGTTAAAAAAACCCGAAATTTTTCTAAAAATATGGCCAGTAATAAACAATTACTACTTGTATTTTTAAAACAAAGTTCACAAAAGTCTCTTAATTTTCATAAATAAGGTGAACAACAAACAAAGCTGATTTTTCAAATTGGTGATCCTAAAGTTTAGAAAGAACATTACAGAAAAAAGTATACTTTATATAATAACTGACCTCTGGAGCTCTTCCTTTCCTTTGCTTTGTAACAATCCAGGCAAACCACAAATCCACATTTCTGGCAGACCCAGTGAATGTTAAACAGTGTTGCTTCACATGCATCACACATCTCCCGAACACCTCTCACTGCTCTTTTCCAGGCAATTTTGGCTGCAATTGAGAGGAAACCAAAACTTATAGGCAAATACAAGAACAGTGATGGCAATGTCAAGATCATGTCATTTCTTTACATGCCTCACATCTGATCATGAGTGAAAAATGAAAAATAATTTCCATGTAAGGTAGACGGTCAAATTTAGTATTGTGTACTAATAATTTGGTGTGTAATGGTATCAAATCCTTATATGTTAGCACACTACGAACAATCCATTCATACATGAGAAGCAAAAACGTTTCTGGCCATTGCAAAAAGCCCTCTTGTGGACATACTTACCACTGACTTTAAAGAAAGAAGTTAACAGGTAGAGTCTATTTAGGATATACTAGGATCTTTACATTTGTTATCAAATTTATTTCCTAGGGAGCTCCGGTGACCTAGTGGCAAGATGCTTTGCTACAATCCCAAAGGAGTTGATTAAATGTCTCTGAAAACTAGCCACAGGGTCAGCTATGGGTTAGTTCCAACTTTATGGTACACAACAGTAACAAAATACTTTCCGGGAAGTTTTCATTTCTATTTTCTAATGTAGATATTCAGAAAGGCTAGCTGCCAAAAAGTCACATAGTTAAATAGTCATGATGCCAATACAATTCTAACAACTATGATCATTAAAACACATAATTAATTCTAACAATTGTGATAAACCACACCAAACAAATAAATAAATAAAGGTGATGTATTATCTTTAATCTGCAAATGTTCAAATTTCCCAGTTTTGATTACTTTTTGTTCCAGAGTAATGAATGTACTACTGTTGTTAAGTGCCTTCCAGTCATAGACGACTCATAGCAACCCTATGAATGAAAGACCTGAACACTTGTGTAACTGTCATTTTTCTGTGTTCACAGAATTTCCGGGGGCAAGCCATTTCAGAAGTGGATGCCACTCCTGCCTCCAAGTTTATTTGAATTGAGAAGCTCCACCGAACACTGTCCACAGTGGGTAATTATTATTGCATTTGACACATTAGTGTCACAGTGTTCAGCATCATAGGAACCGCAAGTTAGCTCTGTACAGCAAATATATTTATATCTATATTAATATAGATATAAAATATATATATATATAACTAGTTCTTAAGATTACAGAACGTTTAATTGTTTTTTATAATTAGGAATAGAAGAGATTTTCTTATGCTATCCTGATTTTCTTCCACACTACAGCTCAATCAGATATGAACGTTCAGGCAAATTCATGTTCTCTCCAATTCTATTAGAACAGGTTAATACATGGTAAACCGTACCACTCCATTGTATTGTACGACTTCTACGGAGAAACCAAAAGCTTTGTTCTAAGTAAATAATGTACTTACCAGAACCAGGTATAATTTGAGTTGGCATTAAATGTTTATGATCATGAGGCTGTCCCTTCACACATTTCATCCAAGCATATAATTCTTTATCTGAAAAAAATTTATAACATCTATTTTATATCATTCATGGTTTTAGAATAAGGAAATTGAGAACTTGCATATAAAGAACTTAACAAATACATAACAATGGTCATCTACAAATATTTGGTTAAGAAAATTTGCCAGGGAATTTTATATAAATAATAATTCAAAAGAAATAATTTTCTAAAAAGATTTTAAAAAAATATATGTAATTCTTAATGGACATTGAAATCAGCTGACTAATAGTGACCTTATAGGTTTTCTTTGCTTACTCTCTCCCAATGCAACCAACTTTTGATTTCCTGACTGCTAATATCAAGGGTGTGATTTGTAGATCCAAATAAGATCATCATTCAATCTTTCTCCTTCTATCATGGTATTTCCCCGTGTGAGGATTTTTATTTTCTTTTTGTTGAGAGGTAAACCATTCAGAAGACTGTAGTCTTTGACCTTCTCCAGTTGGTGATAATTAACCATCTTTTCTTTCTGCAAACATGGTATGTTATCTGCATAGATGTAGGTTGCGGATGAGTTTCCCTCTAATCTTGAAGCCATGCTTTTTTTTTTCATAAACTTCAGATACTCAAAATCATTTGTGCAGCACACACATTGAATAGGTATGGAAAAAGAATACAAACTTACCACACACATTTTCTGATTTTTTAAAAATTAAATAATTATCTTTTAAAATGTTTTTATTTGCGAGAAAGTTCACAAGTCATATTAGCTTTCACTCATCATCCATATACAATCCAACATGCTTTTATAGCACTATTATTTTAAGAGATTATTATAGAATTAATTATAGTACCTTATCCATTGCTTACACATTGCCTTTCCATTCTTGCAAGTTATGTATCCGCCTCCATCCTTGACAACATTCCAAAATCAATTCTATGTGTAAATACTTCCTATCTTCCTACAGTACTGGTCTTACAGTTGTTGTTATATACTGTTGAGTTACCCTCCAGTGGTTTTCAGAGGTGGTTAATTACAAGGGAGGAGGTGACCATCTTTCCCCTGTGAAACAGTTAGGGAATCTGAACCACATGTGTTTGTGCTGGGAGCACAAAATTTTACCACTAATCACCAGAGCTCCTTCTATCACAATGGTCCTTTTATACCTGCCTTATCTTGCTCTGTATCATGTTCTCTAGTTGCATCTATGTTACTTAAAAAAAAAAAAAA